GAATAACTTCCGGTGTAAATTTTTGGAAGGCAGATGGGTTTGTGGATAAGACACTACCCAGAGATTTTGCCCTCATTTTGCGAGGACTTTATGATCTGAGTTATGGTTTCCTGTAAGCGCAAGCCCCTATAGTTAATTACCCCTCCCGATAACGAGAGAGAACTTTCGATTAAGGCTAGTTGTCAATCAGATACGTAGAAAATACGTGTTATCTGGTATATACTAGCAGCATGGGTAATGAATTTTGGAAATTTGAAGATTTGGATGATTGGGAAATTTGGATATTCCATATTTAAAATAGAAATTTCATCATCGTGCACTTAAAGCGGATGGTGGGGGAATGGATGATAGACCCGATCAAGATCCCATGCTTCCATCGTCCCGGGCTATCGTGGTCCCTAGTCTACTTAGTCAGAGGAGATAGTCAACCCAACCTGACAGAAGGATCCTTGTCGGCAGCCATGGGTTGCTTCGTCCAAGGGGACCTTGTAGACCTGGGGTGAATGATTGTCTAAAGGAACAAATTTGAATACACCTTAGCTGACAGAGGGCTTTGTGCCATATCGATCATATCCTATTGATTCATATCTCAAGGATTTGATGCCACTAAGGAATGTATTGGCTCTGGCCATAACCGCTATCTGTGGTGTCATTTGACGGCAAAACCACTAGGTTCATAGGGACCCGGGTCATAACCGTTTATCCTGCGGTGCCATTTGATGACAAACCGCCGATCAGAGGACACGTACCACGTCCTTAATATCAGGAGAGTGTTTGAGAATGGATCCTAGTGATATTTTCGACTAGGCATTAACTTTTTGTGAGCTGAAGTAGTTTTTAACTTGTCCACCCTTACAAACTGTTGTGGATGGTGGATGGATTTTGCTTTAAGTTGTTTGATGCATTATTTGATTTTTAAAAATCTGGATTTGGGACTTTGTAGAGTTTGATTTTTTGGATTTTTGGGTGGAGCTAGTAAAACATTTTAAACTGTTTGGAATGAACCCCTCCGGTTGAGATTTACATTCAACACGGCTATCATCGGGGTATTTGTGGTCATTTCTCTTTTTTGATTGAACCCTGTTAACTCGATCAAGCTATTGATCGAGGCTCGGGTTTCTCGTAGACTTCGTGCCTTCATTAGTGAATTCATATTGTAATAAGCCTTGAAGGCCTAATATAAATACATTAAAATAAATACACCGGTTATCACAACAAGTATATTTGTTTGATGGTTTGAACCTTGTCGACTTCTATTAATCTGTACAGAAAGATCAGGTTCGAACTTGAATTCACTTATTAACCCGCGCCGCTTCCCTAGATGTGACGTGTGTACCAATAACACGCTCGTCGGGGCCCATGCGGGTGGTTGGGGGCTTTTTATAATTATAACTTGTCTACTTCTTTATACCTGCTTAGGAGGATCGGGTTCAAATTTAACAACCCGCGCAGCATCCCTAGACGTCACGTGTGTACCAATAACACACTCGCCAGGGCCAATGCGAGTGTTATGATTGCATTTACCCCTTTTAGTGTACCTATGTGTATACAAACTACGGTGTACGTGTGGGGGTACTTTGAAAATATTTAGAAACGACTTCTGTCTGCTTGTATAAATATTGCGGATCTGGTGGCGGGGAGTAGTAGCTCCTAAATAGAATTATTCGCTACTTTGTACAAGTAGACTGTCGTGCACTACTTGTTTCTTTCTGCGGGTGGATTTTAGTGCACTAACGAATCTTCTGCTTTCGTCGTAGGAGCTTGCACTTGTTGTAGTACGTCAAACTTTGCACACAGACAATATGTTGGATGTACGACTATTGTTCATCAACAAATTTGCAAGCCTCCATAATCTTATCCAACTCAATGTTCATAACTTGGTTGAATTGAGATTCACTCAATCTTGATTTGATCTGGCTTTCTCTTTCCAAAAACTCGTATAGAAATCAATAAGTGCTTTATCAATTATGCCGTCTTCCTTGTTTTTTGTTATTGGCTTGAAGAACCCACCACTTCTACCTTGGATGATTGTATCCTTACTAATGCCTTATACTTCGAAATCAGTGACCAGTATCTTGAATCAATAACTTGCCTTTTTCACTGCATTACTGATTCTGACATATGGAATGTGGAATGAATTTTTGGTATCAACTTATGATAATTAGCACCTAATATCATCAACTTTGATTTGCAAATATGTTACTATGTCTATATCACAGAATAATCCATTATAGATCTTTTGTATTCATCCGTAGATAGCATGCCATATGTATGACAAGTCTTCTTTTATAATTCGTAGGCATTTACCATTGTATTTATTTGTAAGCTAGCTCCATATCCATAGGAGACTGTTGTATGCATCTATAAGCAAGTGCAGTTCTTTGATTATTTTGGGGACACTGTTTCTTGCATATGACCTCTTGATGTCATTGAGAGTTTGTATGTCAGCTTGTGTTGGTTTTAGGAGAGTCAAATTTCGACTTGAACTTAGTATGCGATCTTCAAACATTTCTTCTTTGCACTACCACTCTCTTTCTTTACAATGCATATAGGAGATATTATCGTTTGCGTATGATTGATTACATATTGTGGCTTGCCATAAAATTGCATATGGAATTCCTGGATCAGCACAAGCTTTATGCTCATTTATATCCACTTGAATGATTAAGATTCACTTAGATCTTGATTACTTATTCATCGATCCAAGGTTTGGTTCTACATACTCCATTCAAGTTCCTTAGAGCTTATATTCATTCAAGACCAGCTCTTTGTGATCCATATCGTTCAAGTTATCTACACTGTCCAAATCAATTTCATTGTAGTTATCCTGAGTTACAATCTCGAGTCATTATTCTTTCAAGTTTAAATCAAAGTCTTCTGCAATGTCTTTGCAAGTGCCTTTTTATTTGAGCTAGGCTTAGCTCATTGCATCTTAGTTTAGGCTTGATTTTGTGTAGTTTGTTAAAGTCCAAGCTTTCTATGTCCAAAGTTTTGTTCAAGTAATATGCAAGTTTGGCTCAAGTTTGAATAAAAGTCCATTATCATTTTATATGAATCAACTCCATGTCCTTTGCAGTTTGTTCAAGTCCCCCGAGTCCTCAAGTTCAAAATTGATTTTAGTTCAATTTCATTTTACTTGGGTTCAATTATTTATTAATTCATTTAGATTTTGTTCAAAAGTCCAAGTACAAGTCCTTCATTGTTCTTTTGAGTTCAAACAGGTCAGAGTACAGTCATGTTTTCACCCGAAATTACGACAGCCTCCCGTCGTCTCCCACGTTTAGGGAAAAACTACGAGAAAATTGGGTCTTCCCACCACAGGCAATAAATGCGTGTATGTTAGGTGTCCTTGGACGAGGATATCGCGACAGTGATTTTTCTTCCGACCACGCCTATGATACATCGACACTTCTCCTCAAAGAGGCGTGCAATGTCCGACACCATATCTGACACGACGCTCATCCGACACTCCTCCGACACTTGTTAGACACGCCGAAAACGTGTCCAATTAAAAAATATTAAATACAAATTGGGCACGCGTGCGTGTCGGACACGCGTATATTAAATATTTTAAGAATTTTTTTAAATATAATTTCTTGTATTTTGCGGGATTTAAACTAAATTTCTTATTTCTTATGCACAACATCAAATTAACGTCCACACTTAATACTCAATCATCGAATATTCTCAATTTCATTTCTTTTTGGCAGTAAAGGTATTTTCATCTCATCTCTCAGTGACTGATAAACGGCATCGACGCCTGACTATCGACATCCTAATACTAATCATTTTAAGCATAAATTCTAGTTAAATGACTTATTATTTTCAAATTATTTTTAAAATTATACTTATTTAATTTTTATACACTATTTTTTAAATATAAAAACTATAATACCGTGTCCAACCCGTGTCCGCTAGCACGTGGATCAAGACAAGGAAGTATTTACATTATAACTCATTATAATTACTTTTAGTTAATTATACCTATAATTAATTATAATTAATTAGAGTAATTATTTATAACTATTATAATTAATTAAAATATTTAATTATATTTAACTTGATTAATTATAACTAATTAATATTAATTAATTTCTAACAAATTAATTAATAATAATTAATTATATATAAAAAAGTTCATTATAACTAATTAATATTAGCTTTAATTAAAAGTGATTATAATTATTTAATTAAAATTAACTAAAATTAATTATAATAACTATAACTAACCAAAATAATTATTATTTAAATTAATATTAATTAAAATCACTTAATCTTTCTCCCTCCCCTCTCTCTATAGTCGGCGGCTTTATTGGATTTGGCCGAAGCAGCGCGTGAAAGGGGAGAGTTACCTTCACAGTGCAAGCTCTCGTCTCTCCTTCCGATAAAAATGGCAGAACTTCCGATCCGAACAGGAAGGAACGATGTCGGAGGGAGGCGGAGGCGGAGTCGGAGCTACGGCAAGGTTGGTTTTCTCATCCTCTCTCTCTCTCTCTCTCTCGGTTGTATGGGGAGTCGGCAGATGCAAAAGATGTCGGATGGAGAGGGAGGAGCTCGGGAGGAACCGAAGCTTTGCGGAGTGTGGAAGTGTCGAAGTGCGAAGGCGTCCCTTTCGTTTTATAGACAAGTATAAGGCAAGGATCGAGGCCTGCGAAGGATTTTCGGGAATCGACGTAAACGGCGCCACATGTACAGTACTTTTCAGCGAGATTTCAGGCAGATATGACAGATTCAACAGTCCGAGGTATGTGACGTTTCAGCCGGATTCGTGGGATTTGGCAGAGTGACATGGAAAATGTATGTATCATTTAAGCCCCTTTTTATTTCCTTTTGGATTTACTGGTAGAGGTCAACACAAAAATAAGAAGGTTCGCATGCCAATAAATCCCTAACATAAAACAGGTAGAGATGCTTTGCTATACTTTAATTGGATGATAACTTGAGTTGTAGTTGCCGGAGAAGCTCTACGCCATCCAGACAAGTTATATAATAAAAAAGAAAGGAAAATTTCATAGCCGCCATGTGCAGTTGAGGGCTAAATTCTAAATCATCATCATTGCCCCAAAAACTTTTCACTCATAAAACAGATAAACACAGCTCACAAGCTATGTGTATTACCACTAATCTTGAAAATTACCATATGATTAGGCCTTCTTAATCGTATTTCATTGCAGAGATGAGGCTACTGGTCGCCCTCCATCTGCAAATGAAAATTATTATCCCCCATCAGGGTTAAATTTCTAAGGAAATTAATAAGAATGGGGAGCCTCACTTGGGCTACCAGTAAGATATGCTAATCTTTTTTTTTTCAAGCACGCACACACACACACATATATATATATATATATGCAGATCATCTCAAACTATCATGGTTACTGCACAGTGCTTTACGAGAGAAAAAAGAGGACAATATGACCTTCATTCAAACATAGACACAAGAGCAGCTTTCTATAAGTCCACTCACAACAAGCATATATAAGTACACAGGCCAGCCTTGATGTTCGCCATAGCAAAATGAGTATAAGAATCCTGGGTTGTCGAAGATCAGTCGCCTGTGGGGGGCAATCAACAGCACAATTATTCTAAGAGAAATCTTGAATTGAGGAAAATAAAAAACAACTAACAAGAAATTTTTTAGTTTTGACTATAATGATAAGCCATTAATTGTAAGAATATGCCTCACCATTCGGATATTCCTTCTCATCGCCCACAATGGTTCCGGATATAAAAGAATGGCATGTCGTATATAAATGGAAAAATTTTGAATCACTCCATTGCACATGTATTGAATACTTTGCTCATAGACATTTAGCACTTAAGTATCTTAATATTGTTGACGTTAAGCTATCCTGTGCTCGATGGATGTCTCGTCGAGACGATCAATCCAACTATAAGTATATATGTCATGAAGTTTTCAATTACACTTCAAGTGCTTTATTTGGGCTCATTCATACTCAAATTGAAACAGTTTTGGCATCCTCAGAATATGAATGGTACTAAAATTAAAATTATTTTTAAATGTTTCCAATTCAAATATGTAACAAGATTCCTGCCTGATCTAAGTAATTCACTATGACGAATCATATACATATAAAGAGAGGGTTTGGAGTGGAGAAATAAAGTTTAAAGTCATTGGATCTTCCCATAAATGAAGGTAAATAAAAGGTAAAAGAAGTGGTAGACTAAGCATCCAAAAGAAGAGTAAAAATAGCTGATGGCCACATCAGTTGCCACTAAAGGCTAACCTGAATAACTTGTCAAAACAATCAAAGGGCATAGAGGAAAGCATATTTGGGCATCACCAGCACTACCACTAAGACATTCCCAAAGTAAAGGAGTTACTTGCCTTCATGGGAATCCATCTTAAAATCCCCTGTTATATAAATAAAACTATCAATACAATAAAGATTTGTTGTTTATGAATAGTGCATATTAGACCATCGATACATGTTATATCATAGAGATACTCCACAAAAGCACTACACAACCCAGCAAAAATCTAAATCATTATCATCATCATAATCTTCCCCAAATTTTTTTAACTTCTAAAAAGAAATAATCACAACACTATTACCCATTATGAATATTGCAATAATCTTCATAACTGCCAATGGATATGGCCTTCGTAATTATATTTCATGGAGAAGATGAAGCCACTGAGAGTATTTCTGTCTAAGAATCATATGTATCTCTCTTCAATGAATTTATTTCCCTTTTCACAGCAACAGACATTGATTCCACCAACATGCATTAAAATTAGAATGGAGAAAGCGCCCTTGAAATTTTATGGTAGTAAGGAGAGTAAGCGTCAGTTAGGCAAACAATATTCCTTTTCCGCTAATAGCTCCAAAACAAACTCAAACAAAAGAATCATGAACCAAAAAGGAGGAAGATGATGATGAAAGAAAAAAGGCTCAGAAGATAAAAATGAATCCATGGACTATTAGAGAAGTTTCACTATGCTCGAATTCCCATTGCAATGTTAGCTGTGGTTTCCAGAGAAACTCCAGGCCATCCAGAAAGACATACCATAGGAAACATAGCAATATTCAGGCAAAATTCTAAACATCTCTATACTTCTCCATCAAACCTCTCAAATATACATACAAAATGAAAAAAAGGCTCAACAAGTTACCATGGTTACTGCAACGTACTTCATGGAAATAAAGAGATAGAGGGCAATACGACTAATAAATTCCAACAAAAAATAAATAAACCGCTTTCTGAAGGTCCTCTCACCAAAAGAATAAATAGGGAAAATCATAACATCGGTTGCCTGAGATATTTCAGACCATCCTCAATGTTCGCAATTGCATTTAACCTTATAGGTCTAAACCCACTCCTTCAAAATTAACACTAATTTTATCTACATGTTTAATTGCCACATTATCTACCATTCAATATACATGGTCATAGCACTTAAATCTTTTTTCAATAATCTCATCTAAATAGATGGCACTCCAATCATTCCTCTGATATAATTATTATTTAATTTAAATGTACTTACCCACAATCATCCTAAAAAATGCAAATAGAAAAAGGTAGACAGTTTTTTCCCTACTGAAATCGACATCGTCCCTTCTTTCCCCTTGGCACCACAATTTGATTGCAATAAGTATATCATAAACATGTATGTTTGTATGCATGTGCATAAATGTGTATATATATATGGGGGGGATGGTTTCAAATCCACATGAATTATCAATGAGCATGCATGGAGCAACAATAAAGGGATGTCCAAAGACGCCACCTACAATCAAACATAGAAAAAGCTTTCACGTTGTCTTTACTGACTCGTCATTCTCTGTTGACCTCGTTTTTATCGCGCATTTCCCCTCGTCTGTGTTTGATCGACTCAATCGAGCCACGACGAGCTAAGTTCAAATCAAATTGAAGTTAGTTAGAATTTTTATTCCAAATTGACTTGGATCGAGTCGAATTTGATACGACTAAGCTCGATCGATTTCGACCAACACATGTTGATTGTGTCGGGTCGAATTTCATTTTGATTAAATAGTGGTTTTTGAATTCAATTTCATGCGATTAAATTTATTGAACCGGCAAGATAAACTTTGGAGAATATTTATATATTTTCTTTTTTTGAGAAGTTTTTTAAGCTCGTTGGAATTATTGAGATGAATATTCTTTGAATATATGCGTTGTTCTTGAAGTAAGAAATAGATTTATGTTTCTTTAATGGGTGTTTGGTCCTTTTTTTGAATTATGATTGATTGGGAGAATTTTACATATGTTTCTATGATTGAGTGGTTTTATTATTAAAAAATTTGGCAAAAGGCTTTGAGTTATTTTGTGAGGCAAGGCTTTATACAAAATTTTTATTGACGTTTTACAACGAAAAGCTTTTGCGAAGTTTTCTTATTGGATATGTTTTAAAGGTTGGTGCTTTGGTAGATTGCTTATGAAAAAAATTTATGTATTATTTCATTTGAAAGTTTTCATAAGTAAATTTTGGAATTTGGAGCTTTATGGCAAATTTTATGTAGCAAGTTCTCTTTGATTTTTTTTTAAAATGAATGATATTTTTTAATTGAATTAGCTTTCTTTACTAGTATTTGCTTCTAAAAATGGGGGTTTTGATAGATGTATAACGAAAGCTTATTTTGAGTTTTGGTTTTGGGAACTTATTCCAATTTGTCACTTTGAGCTTTATTTAGGTAATAGCTTAGTTAATTGTTTTAAATGTATCAAGTGCTTTTGTTGTAATGTGGGGACAGTAAAGAGCATTAAAAATACCTTCTCCTCTATTTGTATCACATTGAATTGGGGAGAAAATTGTTTTAGAGGCACATTTGGCTTCAAAAAAGTGTGTCCAACAATAACAATGCCTACATTTCTTTTACTTTTGATTTTCATTGTTTTCTTTCTATTGCATTTAGTCGTCTCTTGCTTTGTTTTTAATTTTTATATCGCTCAATTATTTATTCTTTAAGTTTTAATTCTTGCAAAGTGAGAAAAACCAAAAAAACCAATGGCTCAACCGGAATACGAAAATGTACGTTCTTGTTTTTATTACATCTTCATTTCTTTGTATTATCATTTGTTTATTATATAAAATGTGAATACAAAGAAATGAAGATGCAATAAAAACAAGAACGTACCTTTTTGTATACCGATTGAGTCATTTATCTTTTGGGTTTTCCTCACTTTGCAAGCATTAAAACTTAAAGCATAAATAAAGTAGCGGCAGAAAAACTAAAAACAAAGTAAGAGACGACTAAATGCAAAAGAAAGAAAAGAATGAAAATCAAAAATAAAAGAAATGTAGGCATTGTTATTGTTGGGCACACTTTTTTGAAGCCAAATGTGCCTCTAAAATAATTTTTTCTCCAATTCAATGTGATACAAATAGGGAGGTTTTTACTGCTGTTTATTATCCCCACATTCCAACGAAAGCACTTGGTACATTTAACACGACTAACTAAACTATTATCTAAATAAAGCTCAAAGTGACAAATGGGAACAAATTCCAAAAAAAAAAACTCAAAATAAACTTTCATTCTACATCTATCCAAAACTCCACTTTTAATAACAAATACTAGTAAAAGAAAGCCAATTCAATTAAGAAAGATCATTTGTTTCAAAAAGACATAAAAAAGAACTTGCTACACAAAACTCGTCATAAAGCTCCAAATTCTAAAATTTACTCATGAAAATCTCCAAATGAAATAATACATAAAAGTTTTCCATAAAAATTCTACCAAACCACGTTTCGACACAAAGAAAACAATCAATTGCTCATTTTTTTTGCGTGGGGTAAACAACCTTTAAAACCTCTCCAACAAGAAAACTTCGCAATAGCTTTTCGTTATAAAACGTTAATAAAATTTTTGCATAAAACCTCTAACACAAAATAACTCAAAGACTTTTGCAAAAATTTTCAATAATAAAACCACTCAATCATAGAAACTTATGTAAAATTCTACCAACCAATCATAACTCAAAAAGGGCCAAACAAGCATTTGATGTGTTACTATAAAAGAAATATAAATCTAATTCTAACTTCAAGAACAACGCATATATTTAAAAAATATTCACCTCAATAATTCCAACGAGCTCAAAAATCTTCTCAAAAGTAGAAAGCATATAATTATTCTCCAAAGTTTATCTTGCAAAAATAGTTTGAAGTATAAAACAAGTGAAAATATGCATCTAACTCTTTTCTAAATCAGTTTGGGGCACAAGACTAATGAAAACTTGCATCTAACATGTCTACAAATCAATTCGGAGTATAAAACAATTGAAAATCTGCACTTGGTTTGTCTCCAAAACAATTTGTAGGTTAAAACAGTGAAAAAATCTAATCTTACTTCCCAAAATAATTTAGAGGCTAAAACAGTGAAAATTCTACACTTACTTTATTTTCAAAATAATTTGGAAGTTAAAACGGTGAAAATTCCGCACTTGGTTCATTTCCAAAGCAATTTGGAAGCTAAAACAGTGAAAATTCTGCACTTGTTTTATTTCCAAAACAATTTGGAAGCTAAAACAGTGAAAAATTTGCACTTGGTTCATTTTCAAAATAATTTGAAAGCTAAAATAATGAAAATTCTACACTTGGTGAAGAATAACAAGACTTTTATCACAAAGATAAACTATGATTAAATGATGCAAATGTGTAAGCCATCTCGACCAATCACTATTTATAGGACAAATGCAACTCAAGGAGCATACGATGAAACTCTCACGTTTATGCTTTTTTACATCAAACTCTAATACGAAAAAAGCCATCATATTACCTTTTGGAAAGTATTTCATCAAGTAGATAGCATGCGCCATGTGAATTGAAATATGCAAGGTTGCATATAATCGAGAGAAGTTGAAATTTTCTTATCCACATTTAAGAGAAAATGAGATACCTCTCTCTTTTTTTTTTCTGTTATACATAAAAAAATGAGCTAAACATATCAACCTCATTTTGAATCCCTCCGAAGTCAAGATCTTAAAGTGAGTAAGCAAATACACATTGACGATACAAGACAAGATACATGACAATCTCATGATAGATGTTTAACTCTCACAACATGTATATATTAAAAAAAAATAAGAGCATAAACCCTTTTCATATAAAGACATTTTGAGATTAAAAGCCCCCAAATGCTCTTACTAACAAACTAGTCTTTTGTCGTTCATAAAAGGCTACAACGAAGCAACCAAAGAAGAAATTTCATAATAACATTTCTTAAGAAACATTTCATCAAATAACTGGTGTGCATCCGTGCGACAAACAAAGCTAAACAAGTAATCAATGGTGAATGTCATGCTTCTACCCTTTCACCTAATCGTGCAAATAAAGAAGCTTCATAGATGCATTTAATTAAAGAAAAACAACAACACCATCTCGTCATTGAATTCAACATATCTTCTAGTGGGTTTCATATATAAAAAAAAATTCAAGCACAAGCATGTTCTTAAAAAAAAAAAAAAACATATCCAACAACAAACCCCATTCTTCGCTATTTCTTTCGTATGACAATGCAAAATCATTTGAAAATAACAACATTTATGCTAAGAGAAGATGATTCATATGCTCCTTAGAAAAATAAAATTATGTCTCCAAACAAACAAGGGAGGACATTACCAGAAACATATCACAACATATCATGCTTGCTTGAATAATTTCAACATGTGAAGACTTCTCTTGATGAATCTTTTTAGAGCAGATAAATATATTGCAATAAATCAATCCATAAGTTCTTAATTTTTTTTTTTTTAAAGGAAGCAAATGAAACTAAGGGTGAAGAAGAAAGTTGTGAACAAACAAGAAGAAGAAGAAGATGAAAATGAGAAGAAAACAACAAGAGGAAGAAGAAGAGGAAATGGAAGGTATGGAAGAAGAAGAAGAAGAAGAATGAGAAGAAACTGAAGAAGCTACCTGCAGCCTTGGAGGAGATCACTTGGCCAAGACAGGGGAGACAAAGCTCGGGTCGTTTGTCCGGAATGGCGTCGGACAAGACGACGAGCTCGGTCCGGGCACGCGAAATCGAGAGCGGGGGAGGCGTCAGGTGCTCCTTGTATTCTCGAAGCCGAGAGAGGACAAAGGGGGGCCGGATTCGCCTGGGCTGTGCGAAACCGAGTGGGAGAGCTGGGGATTCACCTGGGCTGCTTCCGAACGAGAGCGCGAGATAGAGAGGGAGTCGGTGAGAATGAGAGCCGAAGGTTTCCTCCAAGCCTTCTAAACGTCTCTCGACGTTCTGCTTTGCTCGAAACAACAAAATAGCCCTACGACCTTTTTCTCCTTCCTAAAGTCGTTCGAATCGACTGCTTGTTCGAGGGCTCACGCCCACGACAGAATTCGAATTTCGGGGAAATTCGAACCGTTGAAATTGTCGCCTGATCTAGTAAATGGATTCAAATTATTTAGAAAGTTAAATGGATCTTAGTAGGATTAGATTGAGTTGAATCAAGCCAAATTTGGCTAAGACCAAGTTAGACTTGAGTCCTAATTTGACTCGATTCGAGTCAGTTTGAGTTCAAGCCAGTTCAATAAATTTAATCGCAAGAAATTGAATTCAAAAATCACTATTTAATCAAAATGAAATTTGACACGACGCAATCGACATGTGTTGGTCGAAATCAATCAAGCTTAGTCGAATCAAAATCGACTCGATCCAAGTCAATTTGGAATAAAAATTCTAATTAACTTCAATTTGACTCGAACTTAGCTTGTCGTGGCTCGATTGAGTCGATCAAACACAGTCGAGGGGAAATGTGCGATAAAAACGAGGTTAACAAACGGACCCCAATATATGCGGAGAATAATAAGTGAACTGTATATGTTGGCGTTAACCTCCCTAACTCTAGGAAGATACAAAAGTAGGGGAAAGAGGTCTCATGCTTAGTTAGTTGAGAGAGTCAAATGAAGAACTAGAACCACAATGAAAGAGTCAAAGAAAGCAAATCACCCATTTGCCCAACTACAATGGCAAAATAGGGGAAAGAGGTCTCATGCTCACATGAACAGAATTGGAACAAGATCACAAAGAATCCAAAGGAAATTCAATGATCATCTAGAGTATACATCTACGATGACGTGAAGAGAAGGGAAATCAACAATAACTCGAAAATCATATGAAATAATAAAGAAACAGCAGAAATCATAAGCAATAAGGAAGAGTAATCAAAGATAAGAAAATTATTTGTCTGTCTGACCAAATCGAAACAGCAGAACAAAAGAAGAAAGAGGGATCCCACATTCAGTTGACCAGATCGAAACAGTGAATGGAGAAAACTCAGTACTCACCTGACCAGATTGAAACAATGAATAAAAGTAAGAAAAGAATCAACTGTCTGTCTGACCAGATCGAAACAACATAATAGAAAGAAAAAGAAAGATCTCACATTCACCTGACCAGATCGAAACAATGAATGGAGAAAAACTCAGTGCTCAAATAACCAGATCGAAACAGTGAACAAGAGGAGAAAAGAAAATAAACAATTGTCTTTCTGACCAGATCGAAACAGCATAAAAGAAAAAGAAAGAAAGATCTCACATTCACGTGACCAGATCGAAACAGTGAATGGAGAAAACTCAGTGCTCACCTGACCAGATCGAAACAGTGAACAATAGTAAAGAAAGAAAAGAACCAACTGCCTGCCTGACCAGATCGAAAGAGCATAACAGAAGGAGAAAAAAGGTCCTACATTCACTTGACCAGATCGAAACAGTGAATAGAGAAAACTCAGTGCTCACCTAACCAGATCACAACAGTGAACAAGAGGATAAAATAAAAGAATCAACTGCCTGTCTGACCAGACCGGAACAACAGAACAGAAGAAGAAAGAAAGGTCTCACATTCATCTGATTAGATCGAAACAGTGAACGGAGAAAACTCAATGCTCACCTAACCAGATCGAAACAGTGAACAAGAGTAAAGAAAGAAAAGAAACAACTGTCTGCTTGACCAGATCGAGACAGCAAAACAGAAGGAGAAAGAAAAGTCTCACATTCACCTGACCAAATCGAAACAGTGAATAGAAAAAACTCAGTGCTCACCAGACCAGATCGAAACAGTGAACAAGAGTAAAGAAAGAAAATAACTAACTGCCTACCTGACTGATTGAAACAGCATAACAGAAGGATAAAGAAAGGTCTCACATTCACCTGACCAGATCAAAATAGTGAATGGAGAAAACTCGATGCTCACCTGACCAGATCGAAACAATGAACAAGAGTGTGAAAAGAAAAAAAAAACAACTGTCTACCTGACCAGATCGAAACTGCAGAACAGAAGAAGAAAGAATGGTCTCACATTCACTTGACCAGATCGAAACAGTGAATGGAGAAAACTCAGTGCTCATCTGACCAGATCGAAATAGTGAACAACAATAAAGAAAGAAAAGAACCAACTGTCTGCCTAAACAGATCGAAACAGCATGACAAAAGAAGAAAGAAAGGTCCAACATTCACTTGACCAGATCAAAACAGTGAATGGGAAAAACTTAGTGATCACCTGAACAAATCGAAACAGTGAGCAAGAGTGAGGAAAGGAGGGAGTTCTATATTCTTCTGACCATATTCGCAACAACGAATGAGAACAACTCAATATCCACCTGATTATATTCGCAACAGCAAATAAAGAGCTTCCCAAAAGTCTAATATCCGCCTGACCAGATTGAAACAACAGGACAAAAGAAAAAGCCCAACATTCATCTGACCAGATCGAAACAGTGAATGAGAACGACTCAATGTTTTCCTGACCTTAATCAAAAAGGTAAAACAAAGAATCAGTAGAAAACTCAACCCCCAAACAGGTAAAAGAAAACAGGGGGAATAAAGAGATGGTGAAGTATGTCTCCCAGGGACTCTGTCGGACACCCTACCAGAAAGGGGAGTCAATATTCGCATGACCATATTCGAAACAGCGAATGAGAACAGCTCCATATTCAACTGACCATATTCGCAATAGCGAATACGGAGCCTTCCCAAAAGTCTAATGTCCATCTGACCATATTCACAATGGTGGGACAAGAGAAGAAAAGCCCAACATCCACTTGTCCATATTCGCAATAGTAGCGAATGGGAAAAATCTCGTGAAATTTTGGGTTATCCATCAAAGTGTGCAGTCAAAAGCCGCTATCTTCCATGGCTAATCGTATGTATCACTCCATCTACTATTCCATTGGCCTGCTTATGTCGAGTATAAAGGCCTACGATCATTTTGTCCTACGGGATAGTGTCGTCGTACCCTTTGCATTCGAACCCAATAAGCAGAATCCCTTTAGGAGACCCACATTCTCAATCCTCTGTTTCCCTCTTTTTGCCATAAATCTCGAATTTACTCAATTTTGCATTTCGGCGGATTTACGAAATTTGGCCAAACAAGCACGTGAAAGTGAGAAAGTTAAATTCACAACGAGAGAGTTTCCGTTGTTGCTTCCCATCGAAATGTTGTAACGTCCAATCCGCAGGAAGGGAACGTCATAGATGGAGCAAATTCAAACAACAACAAAGGAGCCGAAGAAGCGACTCATGCAATCTCTACACCTTAGAAGAAAGCCGTAAATATAATTTTAAATAAAATATTTTAAATAATAATCAAATAATTAATTAATAATAGAATATTTAAATGATTAATGAGATAATAAAATATATAAAATTTTTAAAACTAATTAATAATAATTCAAAATTAATATATAGTTAAGAGAGAGAGAGAGAGAGAGAGAGTGATTCCTCATTTTGTGGGCAAAAAATCCTATATATAACAGAATGCATTTAAAAATATACATTGCCAAAGAAGATGAATGGGTGTGAAATTAAAATTTAGGTGATAAAATTCCTCAAAATAAACCATCAAAATAGAGAGATCTGAGAGCATCAACCTTGATCACATAAACTTCCGAAAGCAAACAAAGCCTAGGTTAAAGTTGAAGGTCCTAAGATAATTATCAGAAAATACAGTAAATGAGAAACAAACCCCCAAACTCATATCATTACAAATGTAGAAAAAGAAGCACCACCGTAGCCTTTCATTGTTAATATCTAAGCTTTCATAATCTTCCCCACAATTTATTTAACTTATAAAAGAAATAATCACAACACTATTACCCATTATGAGTATTGCAATAATCTTCATAACTGACAAATTTTATGGCCTTCGTAATTGTATCTAATGGAGAAGATGAAGCCACTGATAGTATATCTATCTAAAAATCATATGTATCTCTCTCTTCAATGAATTTATTTCCCTTTTCATAGGAAGAGACGCTGACTCCACCAACATGCACTAAAATTAGTTTAGAGAAAGGTCCCCTGAATTTTTACGGTAGTAAGGATAGTAAGCGTCGATTAATTTAGGTAAACAATATTCATTTTTCGATAATTCCTCTAAAACAAACTCAAACAAAAGGATCATGAACCAAAAAGGAAGAAGAAGAAGATGATGTTGAAAGAAAAAGGCTCAGAAGATGACAATGAATCCATGACAGAACTATAAAAGAAGCTTCGCTATGCTCGAATTCACATTGTAAAGTCAGCTGTCGTTCCCTGAGAAACTCCGGGCCATCCAGAAAGCCATATCATAAGAAACATAGCAATATTCAGGCTAAATTCTAAACCATCATCGTCATCATCGCCCTAAGGCTTTTACTCAAAGAAGAAATAATCACAACACATTACAAGTTATATTTGTGGCACAAATCCTTGAAACTATCATATATTTATACCTTCTTAATTCTATAACATGGTGAAAATGAGGCGACTGATAGGATTTCCATATAAAAAAGCAAAAATATTAAACCCCATCAATGCAATTTCAATTTTCCTGTTCATGGCAAGAGATTGTGAGATGCATCAACATACCTAAAAATTAGAATCGAGAGAGACAATTGAATTGATCTTTGACAAAATTTGTATTCATATTTTGTTTTGCAGAAAAATATGCTTCACAAAATAACAAAATAGAGTATTCTGCAGCTGAAAAGAACTTTTATAATATTGCTTACTACCTCATAAAAGAAACAAAATAGCGCCATGATTTATAAAATAAAAAACCTAGCTTTGTGGCATGACCGAGAGAGATATAAGCAAAAATTGAAAGCTAAACATGAAGAAATACATGCTTGCAAATAGTTTTTTTTTTTTTTCCTTAAGCCCATATCTTTTTGCTTTAGTCATGGATGTTCTCACTAGACATTTGGAAGAGGTTGTACCCAGGTGTATGTTTTTTGCTGATGATATTCTTCTTGTTGATAAGACTAGAGGAGTTGAAGGTAAACTTAAATAATGAATGTCAACCTTAGAGTCTAAAGATTTTAATTTGAGTAAATATAAAATCAAATATATGGAGGATAATTTTAATAATAATAGATCTAATGAGGGGACTTTGACTTCGGGCAATCAAGTTATTAATAAGAGTACACGTTTTAGATATCTTGGATCTATTATTCATAGTGATCGTGAAATAGATGGTTAAAGTGGAGGAATGCATCATGCTTGTTCCGTGATTCAAAAGTCTCCATCAAACTTACAGTAAAATTCTATAAGATGGTGGTAAGACCTACAATGCTTGATGGTGCAGAATGTTGGCCATTAAAAGAGAAGTATAAAATTAATATTAGTGCATAGATGAAGATCCTCAGGTGGATGAGTGGCTTACTCTTAGATATATGATAAAAAATGAGTATATCCGTGAAAAGGTTCGAGTAGCTCCAGTGGAAGATAAGATTAGAGAGAGTCACCATTGTTTGGTAACAAAACGGTGGCCGTCCGATGACCCGGTTAGGAAACTATGTTATACGTAAATTGCCATGCAAATGGGAGATGTGGTTGCCTGAGAAGCTCCAGGCTATCCAAACAAGCCATATAACACGATAAATAGGAACATCTCATAGCCGCCACGTGCAGTTGATTGCTAAATTCTAAATCATCATCATTGCGC